AGCAACTGAGCCCATGTGCCGCAACTACTGAGCCTGCACTCTAGAGCCCGCGAGCCACAACTGCTGAAGCCTGCATGCCTAGAGCCCGTGCTCTGCAAGGAGAAGCCACTGCAATGGGAAGCCCGTGCACCACAACAAAGAGTAGCCCCCTGATCGCCGCAACTGGAAAAAGCCCGTGCGCGGCAACGAAGACCCAATGCAGCCAAAAATAAATAAAATAAAATAAAATAAATTTATATATATATAAAAAGGAAACGAATATTCACGGGGCACACTGCAGTTGATAAAATTCTTCCATATCTATCAACTGGTTTGATCCTCTCAACAAGCCATAGATAAGTCATGACTCTTGTCACCCTCACTTTACAGATGACCAAGAATAGGTAAGTTTTCCAAGGACACATAGTTAACTGATGGCAGAACCAGAACTCAGACCCAGAATCCTGACATAACGCATCTTGCCCTTCCACTCTCTCACACGGCCTCCCTGAACGAAGTTATGACTCCCAGCTAAACGCGCTTGCAAAGAGCCAAGATGTCATAAGTTGAATACAGCCACGACCTGTTTATTTATAACAGCTCTGTCTCTTCGAAAAAGTAAAAAGTATGAGGGAAAAAAATCAAGCTCATTTATAACATAAATGTTGGCTGACATTAGGGGCCTTTGACTTTTTTCTAAGTTGCTTCTCTAACCCAGCGAGATTTAATTCACCACCCTCAACCCATATTAAGAGAAATTGGAATCATTCATATATTCAGAGGGAGAGTCCAAATAATATTGCAATAACACAGCCTTCCTTTAAAAGACTTTTCTTGATGGAGTCGCTGATTTTCCTTTCAGGCATGAAAAATAACACTGTTATTATAGTGGCCTGGCCAAGGGTTAGCAGTGAGGAAAGAAGGAGATGGCACACATAATATTGATTTCTAACCCTTTATCTAATTATTGGTTGGAATCAAATTCAGTGTTTAACGCTATGGCTCTCTACAGTAAGGGTTCTCTTGACATAAGTCTTTTAGATTTGAGGAAATAAGTTTCCATTGTCCAGATGTGATTTTTCCCTACTTTGCTTGAGTCAGCCTGAAAATGGAAGACATGGAGAGCTGGAAGAAAGATTCCTAAGGGTTCTCTCCTTTTCAAGAGTGGATTCCACAGAAAGCCCTCTGCTCTCACCTTCTAGCAATAGTGGTGGGTCTAGGAGGGCCCAAAGAAAAACAGAAAAGTCACTTTTCTGTCCATTGCACATTGTAATGATTTTTCTTCTTTTATTGCTATGTATATCTGCTCTTTTTTTTCTTCCTTTATCCCTCTTAATTTGCCATCCTCCCACTTTCTCTTGCCATTTGTCTTTGCTCCCATCTATCTTCTCTCAAGGCATAGTCTCCCTATGCTGTGAAACTATCATTACTGAGCCTTTCCTGAACTCCCACAGCCTGGCACAAACTCTAGAACCAGACTCTGCTCAGCCTTCTAGTGTTAGGCTAACACACCAACAGTCTCCGTGTAGGGATAAAGAGGTGGATTTAGATGGGGAGTCCTAAAAACGCTGAAGCTTCGTGAACAACGTTTTGGAGAACTTCTGGCAGTAAACGTTCTAGGAATGTTGGAATCTGGCATAACATTTACTGCTTAGGAAGGAGTTACCCAGATTGCGAGAATGGAGATGAATTCTCCAACCTCCACTGGGCGACTCCGGTCATATTCTTCCAATTTGACAGGCAACACTCTTCAAAGAGTCCTAAGCCATATGTCCACCGAGAAGGCAAACGGGCCTCTTTCATCCTGACTACACCGAGCTCTCATGGTAGCTTCAGTAAACTACTTGAGAAGTCATCTGGGTTTCCTCTTCTGTAATGCAATAAGGGACATTCCCTGCTTCGCTTTCACCTCTCTCATTGCTCAAAGGGAATTTTCCCCCTTCTTGTGCTTTTTCTATAAATTAGCCTGAGTTGGGTCAAATTAACCTGTTCAGACTTTCCACCAAAATTCCCTTCCCCACAGCGACGGTGTCTGTAGTGACCCTAAGCTACTTCCCCCCGTGGCTCATCCCCTCCCACCACACCAAGCCACCCCCTGCCAGACTGACCGTCTGCCCTGCATTATTTACTAGGCATCAGCTCTGTGAGCAGCACGGCCTCAATTCTGGGGTGGCCTCAAGAGGCAGTCACCAGTCCACTCGCTCTAGCTGGAGTCCAGTTTATGTGGGAAGCCAAGAGGGGGTGACACAAGAAGCAAGTCCCTAGGTGGCAGAGGGGATGGCACAGACACATGGGCCCTGAGCAGGGTTCCCAGAAAGATGGAACGGGGTGCACAGTTCATGCAAGGTGGCCGGTAGTGAGTGAGGGCCCAGGGTGACAGTGACAGCACAAGCTGGAGGGGGAGGGGACACGTGTACATGAGGAACGCCTGGCTGCATGGCTTTCCAAACAAAACCTCATGGAAAAGACCACTGAAATGAACGTCGGAGCCTATTCCATTTCTGTAGGCCCAACCCAATTTCTCATCCTTCCCAGCCATGTGGATACGTGCTCATTTCCTTGGCAGCCTGAGCTAAAGCCCTTAATGTGATATGCGTGCCTTAGACATTAGCACGATTATAAATATCAATGGTCACACACAAGCAAGTTGAAACCAAACGCCCCTCAAACACTGGCTCTCTGTGATATGAAGGTTTTCAGCGGTGCCTTGAGCCCTTGGTTGAACGAGCTGGAAAACAGCGTAAAATGGGCCCATCGGTGATTTCTCAAGGCCAGGCTCCTACACAGAAAGTAGGAGGCTCAGTAGTTGCTCCCCGCAGATGTAATCTAGGCCAGCTGGCCGCACAGCTTCGGACAACAGTCTGAGAAATACAAATTCAGAACTTTAAGTAGGGGCTTGGGTGGGAGATAAACTGATCAAAACAGATGGTCTCTACTCCACAGCCAACCTGCAAAACATCCCCTTCATGTTCTAACTGCTTTGTAGAACTTAGGGGAGACTCAGTAACGCATGGTTATAAATAGCCATCAAGGACTTTGTTTATCTAACTAAGAGAAAACAGTGTTCAAGATTTTTAAAAACACGCATTTGACACCACAGCGATGTAACTGCCATGGGCGCAGAAACAGAGCGACCAGGCTGAGCCTGCTGTTTTGATGTGGTCACTATTTGCTAAACAGAGCTGCCACTTGGCAACACTTTGTGTGCCCAGTTCTAGGTATTTGAAAATGTAAAAACATACCTATTTCAAGAAATTCTAAAATTACAGGTTTTGTCATTAATTTGTCAAAACCTTCCCCCAAAGTTAGTCCAAAAGCCAGAGATTTTACTGTCAAGTCACGTGAAGGCAGAAGGGATTATGATGACCGAATCTCTTCTTTAATCTCCTAGCATTTGTATATCAGCTTTTGTCAACCTAACCGAGCAACTTATCTACAAAGTGCTACTCCTAAATGTTCTTACTGTTAAATAATAAAGTGCAAAAAGTGTTCCTGGGAGGCAAAAGGATAATAACAAACAACTCACGTGCCTACTGTCAGCACCTGCTTTCTCATTGGAAGATATAATTATGTGGGTTTGGTGAAACTGTAGGATACCCATTGTATCAGGATGGTGGATAGTCAGGTGATAATGCCTCATTATGTCTTCAGTTTTGGTATTTTCTACCTATGTATCTGACCATGGCTCCTTCAGCAGTGGATACAGGAGGCCAGCATACCCATATAGCCTCAGCTCAGAACTGGCATCCAATTTGCTCGCATGAAGAGCCACACTGCCTGCCACTCTCTGTCACCTGAAAAACTATTTCACTTGGCCTCTGATTCTGCCATTCCACTTACACCCCTTCAGAAGGCAGCTTGATGGAGAGGATGGAGCACAAACATTAGAATAAGACAGAACGGGGCTGGAACCTCAACTCTGCACATTCCCAGCTATGTCAATGAGTTGGATGAGTTCATTGTTCTCCTTTTTTCCCCTGGAATGCTTTAATCTAAGTCGGTAGATGAGGTCTTCAATGTCTCTGAGCCTCCATGTCTTAGTTCATAAAATACAGAAAATAGTTCTAGAGTTGTCATTAGAATAAATGACTTCCGTGAGGCGTGGAGCGCAGGGATGGGCATCAGTCACTGTGATTCCCTTCCACTCCTCTCATCTTTCCATTTAACTGTCAGAGATCTCAGTTTCCCCTTCCTTTCTGGGAGGTGAAAGGAAATGCAAATATGAAAATAGCAGTGTGAAAAGCTTGAAGCTGGTAAAGTTCTTTTTGCAGGATCTGTAGTTTTTGATTTGAGGATCTTACTTACCTACATCATTAGTCAAGGAAAGTTCTGGAAAAAACAACTCAAACCAGACTCAATACTTTGGAGCTATCAGATGCAAGCCTGGAAGAGCTCTGGAGTCAGCAGAAGCTATTCCTTCACGACCTCGGTGCAGAAGGGCCAGCCTGTCCTCATCAGGAAGGGATTTCCAACCCAAGAGAAAGAACCTCTGACCTTGTACTAAGCCATGAGGTCCCCATCTGGAATATTCTATGAGAGCCGGCTACTTCGAAAAGCCAATGGCAGGTCCAGAGGGAGATGGACAGCTGACACAGTCAAGGGGAGAAGAACCTTCCATGAGACAATTATATTTAAAAATCAGGTATGGCCCTGGAAAGGGGAAGCCTGAATGCAGACGCTGGAGATATTCATGAACTCTTAACGGTGCAGAGAAAGGATGAAAATCACTTATTCATCACATACCTGAACCTTCCAACTCTGGGCTACTGGAGTTTAGGGACAAAGTTTAGTTTATGAACAAAGATAATGCAATACTATTCCACAGAGATTTATGGAAATGGCTACATACCTCAAGGAGCAGAGACCTCACACCCTTCCTGACTTCAGCTACAACCTTGCTAAGGGGCTCTTAGGCTGTTGGTTCCCAAATCTCTTAATGAGCCTTCAACCCTAATTTAGAATCAGATATATCCACATGTAACTCAGGTACTTCAAACTCAACACACCCCAAAGGGAGCTCATTCAGCTCTCCCCAAATCTGTCTCTAAAAGCCCAGTCAGCTCCCCTGATAGCCTACCACCCAGCTGGAAACCCGGACGTGATCCTCAGCTTCTCCCTCTTCCCTCCCCACCCATACGCCACCACTGCCACCTCCTGCCTTCAACTCCCTGTGCTACTGGCAGCATCAGCCTGAAACCTCATACCTCCGGCTGACCCCGGCTCACACCACATCCTGGTGCCTCTCAAGACTCTGCTGAAACACCACCTCTTCTGTGAAGCCTTTCTTGACCAAGCCCCATCACCTGCCCACCACACCCACTTCTCATCCTGCCCATCTCTGCTCGCTCCTGAGCTCTCCACTACGCGTCTGCTTCCTCCCCTCGACGGCAGGGCCTGCGTCATCGTCATCTTTGTCCTCCAGGTTCTAACGGTGCCAGCACCGTGGATAAAAGCTGAGTAAGCATTTGTGGGAGGAATAAGTAAATAAATTGAAATCAAAATGATTTAAACAACACAATCCAAAAAGATGGTGCCACGCTCAAGGAAGATGGACTCATGACACATTGTAAGAGTCTCAGGACTGTCTGGAGTTGAAACAGCCCCGTAGTGTGTGGTAGAGTCTAGAGTCTGGAGATGGATTTTCGAGTCGGCTACGTCATAGCTTTAAGACCTTGGCTGAGAGGTCTAATCCCTTTGAGCCTCAGTTTATTCATCTATAAAAAATGAAGGGGTGGCAGCAAGGGCTGGGGTGAGAATGCCGTGAGATGACGCTCGCCAAGGGTCCCTCGGAGGGGGCGCCGTGGGCAGGAGGCGGACGTCAGCGCCCTCTCCGTGCATCAGAACTGAGCACAGACCCTGAGGTCTGTGGGGAAACAGCGGGGGCAGAGCATAGCTCCTGCCTCAATGCTCAAGGGGCGGATGCTCAACTTGAAGAGGCGCAATACCCTCGCTGGAAAGGCTGAGAAACCATACTGCGAGCCGATACTACCAGGTGTGTCACGAAGCCGACAACAACAGCCCCTAGCCAGGTTGGCGTGGGCTGCGCGATGCTCGGAGTGGGGAGGGACGTCTCGGGGGGTTGAGGGTGAGGAGAGACACCGGTGGAAGAGGAGGGTCTCAGAGACCCAACCTGCTGGGATGGAAGCCTCAGGGCGCCCTGGAGTCCAGGTGAGGGGCTGCTGGCTCAGAGACTGGGGCTGTGGCTGGTGGGCTCTGTCTGCTGCTGTCTGCTGCCCCCTGTTGGTGTGGAGAGGGAAGGGGAGGATGGTGGCTGAGAGGCAGACAGAGAAGGGCAAGCCGGTGAGAGGGGAGGGAAGAAACCGGGGCAGGCCGTGGAGGTGGGGAAGAGAGCAGGGCCCGTCAGGGTCCACTGCGGCCCTCTCCTCCTTTCTGTCCCTGGAGTGCTTGTCATAGCCTCTCTCTTCTGCTCTCGCTCCCCCCTCCCCATTTTCTCTCTGCAGGTCAGAGGTTCGTCACCTGGGCCTCCCAGGACGCTGGTGTGGACCACTGGTGTGACCGAGGAAGGTGCACTTAGCATTCCTGGGCCTCCTGGTCGCACTGCTTGTCTTGCCTGAGGGTATTCCCCAAGTAAGACCAGAAGCCCTTTTGGCCCTGAATTCCCCAGTTAATATTCATGAAGTTTGTTGAGGGAAAAAAAAAAAAAGGCTGAGGGGGCAGAAGACGGAGGCGGGGGCCACACAAAGAGGTGAAGGAAGCAAGAGTTAACACCAAGCCCCCTCCGGCGGCAGAGAGGGATTGTCCCTTGTGGGGAAAATTGCAAATGACTTTTCCCATTCACCTCAGCCCAGTGTTTTCAATTTATAGAACATGACTAGGCTTCGGGACTTAAGACCAGATATGTCTCTGTTGGGGGAGGACATCGTAGGATGTTCAGCAGAGCCCCTGGCCTCCACCCACTAGATTCCAGTGGAAACCCCTGCCTAGTTGGGACAACAGAAACGTCTCCAGGCCTTGCCACTGTGCCCTGTCTCGCGAAGCCCTGCCTTAGAGGATTGGGAGGTTGTACCCAAATGCCCGGAGATGTGCTTCCCTCTGCATCTCGCCCTGACCTGAGTGCTACAAGGATGCTACACGGCCACCTACCCGTCCACCTGCCACTCAGAAACAGAAACAAGGCCAGGGAATCCCTTTCCAGGTCCTGATTTGGGGGGCCCCCTCTCCTGTTCTGCTCAGGACCTGCAAATCAGTGGACTTCATAACCCCAAGGGGCTCTGCACCCAGAGTGCTGGTCTCTCGATTTCTTGGGTGACCAGAGATGCGGGTCAAAACGTTTGCCCAGAGGCAGCTCCCTCCGGGCTGGAGGAGTAAACCAGTGGAGACTCTGCCCTCCCTCATCTCCTCCATTTTCTCTCCTCTGAGCTGGCTGCTCTGTGAGAAAAAGACACAGCAGCGATTCATGTGAGCCCAAGCCCGGGGCCATCCTCCAGCACATGTAGACAGCGAGTCCGGGAGCTAAATATGAAAGCCTTCACGCAAATAAACAATTACGTTAATTGTGGGTCGGACAGTTGTTTTTCCTGAGGAACTAAGTACTCAATTGGGGGTTGGCGTCCTCTATCTGGAGAAAACAGAGTGCAAGAAGATGAAGGAAAAGCGGCCAAGTCCCTTTATTTTTTAAGTAAGGAAACTGAGTCCCAGAGAAGTGAAATGTCAGCCAGCATGGAAGCCAGGACCAGACACCTCATGATGTGGAGGGTGGCCCCAGGGAAGGGAGGTCCTCAGAGTGTGTGTCACCAGTACGTCTGTACCTCGAGAGATGACTTATCTCATGGAAACCCTGTGCCTGGGGTTGGTCTATAAAATAACGCAAGTGACAACTGAACAGAGTCCCCCAGAGGGGCACCTATGCCTGGCTCTGTGACCCAGTTTTCAGTGAAAATTAGTATTAGCTGCTTTTGGCTTTAACCTTGAACTCCAGCTGGCTTTATCTTCTCTCACTTATTATAATCGTAAGGCCATGCACGGTGTAAAGGTCACACCTGGGCTTATACGTCATATGTCATCAAAATACCGTGAAGAGAACACTATGTGGTCTCTGTCAGAAGATCGAAAAAAAAGAAGAGCAAGCGGCAGGTCCGGCTTCTAACTCAGGGCGGCTCGGCCCTCCTCGAATACCGAGACGGGCCGGGGCCCACCGTGGCCATCGGAGGTCGTCCAGGCCAAGTACGCACTGTTTATTGACAGAGAGACAAAGAGGCACCTGCCCGGTTTCAGGGTGACCAGGGAGTTTCCAGTCTGGATATGAGAAAACTTTTACACTCTACCAAACATTCTTTTTTCTTTTTTTCAAAAGCCAAAATTAGAAAGAAAACAAACATATTCAGGGCTCAACGTAGCAGGAAAAAGAAACTCAGAAGTCAAGACATTTCATAAGAAAAGCTCCGACTCAGTCTAAACTCACCTGGCCTAGAGTCTAAGGTTCCTGTGATTGGGGTGGGGACAGGCTGTGGCCCCCCGAGGCCTGGGAAGCTAGTTGTCCCCAGACAAGTGCCCAGTTAGGAGGTCCCCCCTGGTTCCCACGCTGCAGGAGAGGATGGGAAGGATGCTGGGGGAGGGAGACAGGCAGAGGGTTCCTGGAGGAGTATTCTTCTTGTCTAACCTAGCGGTGCCTTGAGGTGCGATTAATAAGAGCAACTCAGCAGCGAAGGCACTGAGCCACTGCCCCCCTCTGCCAACGCAGAGATAACCCAATACTGTTTACCTGGCCGCCCAGTGACCCGGCCCTAGCAGGCATCTCGCTAATTAGCATAGTCCCTCTAGCCCGGCCTTGGGACTGGCTGTCACACGCTCTCCCACATTCCAGGCCTCAGTCTGTGCGGGGCCCTCCGAGCTCCCCAGGCAGCCTGCCAGCTGGTCCCCAAAGCTGCGGTGAGATCTGCCTGCCTCCGGGGGCCCTTCCACCTGCGGGCACGTCGGACATAAGCCTGTCCCAGCCCCAGGATCCAAGGCCTACATCCATCTTCAAGAAGGCATCCTCTGAAGCAGTGTGGGAAAAAAGCTTTTTCGCTTGAGAATCACCTTGTATTGTACTGACTTGAAAACAGGTCGGTCAGCTTCCATTCAGCCGGGGTGTAACTGGAACTGAAGGGTATCCATTAACACACAAAATGCCAGAAGTATTTTATACCACTCAGGCACTGGTGAGTCATTAGTGCACGTGAGATTCATCAGTTTATAAAAGAGATTGGAGAAATTAATTATTTAAAAGTATGTGACTATCGATTTATACTCACGTTATCTACTTAAAAGAAAGGATCTCAGTCGGGCTCTTCTTCTCCCAAGCAGTGAAAATCAAGTTATCCTCTCTACCGCCTTCTCCAGCCTCTGCTCTAAAGAGAGCTGGGATCAGGCTTATTAAGCAAAGCAGAGGTAGGGCCGAGCAAGTGATTTTCACCAAAATTGCAAAAACACAACTGAAAGAGAACTATTCTTAAGAAAGACTCATGTACCATAAAAGGGGAATTTCCAGAAGCCTCTGATATTAGCAATTTGCTCGTCCATTCCCTTCCTCTGTAGTTTCAAGATGAGATGATGACAGAAAGACTGACTTGTCAGAAAAAAAAAAAAAAAAACATGAAACTCCGTATACAAACGTGTAAATGGTCACAGTTTACACTTGCGGGAATTTCCACATCTGTTCTGAGTGGCCATGAAGAGGAGGAAAGAGGGAGAGAAAGCAAAGGAAAGGTCTGCCCCCATTCACCCACATCCAGACAGAATCATGAACCCTGTTTTCTTACTTTAAAATAAACAGCACTACTTACTGAGCACATGTCTTATTTTTCTTATGGGGCAAAAATAGTTTTTCCAAAGTAAAAGTTCTGAAACGGATTTTTTTTTTAGAAACAGACATAGCTGGGAATTTTCTGAAAACTAGTGCAAGTAGGGATGTTTCTCCTTTCACTTTCCATTTTTACATATGCATTTAAGGCCAACATGCACTGGCTAATTTCAGTAGAATGTTCCAGAGCAAGGGGAAGCACTGCATCTCAGGGCATGGGTGGACAATTAATTATTGGGCATTCACTTTTTATAGGGCCTGGGATATTTGGGACTATGGGGGACTCATAATCAGGAAATAGAAAAAAAACTCCAATTAAACAGGGAAATAAGCCAAACAAAAATGGGCATCAAGATAAAACACCACATATGAAAACACAGACGCAGGCACAGAACCAGCTGTAGTTTCTACAAGCTGGGCTGAATCTGCTCACCTTGCAAAGATTTCCCGGACGGCGGTAGGGAGGATGGGGGGACTGCCCACGACTATTTCTTAGTTTCTACCGCCTGACTCTTAACGTTTCTAAATCCCTTGAATGGAGTCACTTTTAGTTTTTTTTTCCAAGCTCAAGCCACTTTATTATTTTAAAAATGTTCATGGGGGTTTAATTTACAGACAGCAAAATGAACACTTTGTGTGTGTGTACAGTGTGATGAATTTTGACAAAAGCCCCTGGAACCCACTCCCCTCTCAAGATATGGAGCCTTTTCCATCCTCCCAGAAAGATCCCTCGAAGCCACTTTGTTTTACAATTATTTGCATCTGAATGTTTTAGCGTGGAGATTCTCAGAGCCAAATGTGTGGGAAGCAAAGCCTCACCATCAATCATCTGGGAACACAGGCTGTGAAGGCTCTGAAGGTGCTGCGCGAGCCTGCACAGACACGTCTGCAGGGATGGGAGCTTGTAGTACATGCCAAGGGGCTTTTCAGGGACAAGCACGTGGGCCCCTCTCAGCAGCCCAGCTGGCAACTTGACCGTGCAACTAAGACCCAGTGGGTTTCTTTTCTGATTTTGTTCTTTAGGCATCAGGGTTTACATGTTTAGAAAGAGGGAAGTTGAGGCGGGATAGTCAAATCGACCAAATTCTCAAAGGAGCAAAGGCTCTCTGATGAGAAGGGTTCAACCCAGCTCAGAGCACTCCTTTCCAAAATTCTATTGCAACATCGAAAGAGGAGTTCACATGACCAGGCAAATTAGAAATTTTCTTCACATTTCCTGTTTCCCAAATTTCCGAGGAGACCTTCGGGGAATGTCTGGCCCAGAGGCACACATTCAGGGTGAGGGACAGTGGCTCCACTTTGCTACGACGTCGCCCTCCTGGCAAGGCAGGGGCGGGGCTGGGGGGAGAAACGAGGCCAAATGCGCTTCCATTGGGTCCAGGGAACCAAACTTCTGGCAGAGGGGCCAGGAGCAGAAGACCAGATGGGGCAGGCGCCTACACCTCTAGACTTCTGTTTTCTCAGGAAAGGTAGAGCTACTTCACGGATGTCTGAATTGTACATCTTCAAAGGTAAAACAGAATGAAAAAAGTTATGAAACATTATGTAGGAAGCAGTTTCTTTTTTTTTTTTTTCCTGTTAATCACTTTTCCAAGATGGTGCCGCAAGGTAATCCTTTCTTAAATCTTCCAGCAATCAAAACAATGTGGTCACAGAAGTTTACAACTTTAAAACCTTTCAAAGGTCACCTCCCTGCCGCACACCCTCTCACATTAAGAGCATAACGGATATTTTGAGTCACACATATTGTTCTTTGCTCAATTTGCATTTGGTGAAATCCCTCCTTCGGACCAATTTAGTAAGCAGTGCCTTGGCCTCCCTTGGTGACGGTTCTCTTGTCTTCTCTATTTTCGTGTGTCAAAAAAGTTTAGACTCCCAACGGATAAAATGAAGGTGTAGCCTTTGTCATTTATGCTTTCTTTTTGTTCAGACGGTTTTTCCATCTTGCTTGGGATGGAATTCCTTCTCCTTCACGACGAACTAAGCCCTTCAAGACCCAGCTGAAGTTCATGTGCTCCATGATGCTCCTGGACCTCCTCTCCTTGGCCCTTCTCTACCTGACCTTTCGCTGAACTGACATACTTCTCCATATTTCAGGCTCACATGGCTTGGTCTCCACCACTAGACTGTGTTACTGAAGGCCTGAATCAAGAGTTCTCGTGCCAATTACCAAGTGAGATGGTGAGAGAAAGACTGTCTAAATGGGGAATTGATCCCAAGCACCCACTGCTCCAATGCAGGGGCTCCCACTGATGAAGAGTCTCACCTCCAAATACAACACGCGGCAAAGAGCTCTCAGGCCCGGGACGCACGCTTCCCAGCAGATGCGCTGTGCACGCCAGCTGTCACGGGAGGCCCGAGTGCTTTATGAGTCCGCCTGCTCACTCCCCCGGCTTCGTGTGTAAGCCAACGGTGCTTGGCTTTTAGAAACATATTTCTTTCTCTATGAGTAATTTAAAAGTGACTCATGCTTAGCTTCACCAGCCGGTCCATGTGACCCGCAGTGCTGGTTGAGTGTATCTATAGATGTGTAAACCAAAGCAGTTCTTAGAACACAGATTTCCCCCCTCCCACGTGCTGTTTATTTCCCTCCACTTCACAGGGGCCGAGCGATGATGCAGACGAGCTGCCGGGGACCGCCTGCCCCTTACTCAAGCCTGGAATGGGCCCATGAGGCGGGACCAAAGCACAGCATCCAACAAGGGAAAATAAAAGACCAGTGGAGGAAAGGGACAGGCAAACGAGCTAATACATTTCTTTCGTATGAGTGGATGATCAAGGAGCTCTGAGAAAAACTCATAAAAATCTAATACAATGGGGACTCATCTAAACAAAAACTACCGCGTCTCTTTCTGTTCCAGTGGAGGTTCAGATGTAAAGAAGTAGAACTCGCACCCTCACCGCCTCCAAACAGCCCACCACTTCATTTCCTAAAACAGAAAAACATTCCTGGGATGTGTTGTGGTTGGACTGGATAACTCACATATATTAAAACGTTTTAATTTCCCCAGCCTGTCTTCACTCCTCTGCCACTGGAGAACGCGCAGGGCCCAGCTTGGGGACACTGCTGCTGCAGGAAGGACGTCGGGTGACACAGCTGCCAAGCGCACCAGGTAGTGGTTCCTACCTCCTTCTCACTTCCTTTTTTCTATTAAACCAAATCTAAAAACTCATTTGCCTGCTTTGTGAAGACCTCCATAGTCTGGCCTCTCTCACTTTATTTTCTGGCGCTATGTTAACTGTGCAACGTATCCGCGGCTACAGCCTGGGAGTGTCTTCACTGCTTCTCCAATGAGCTGAATCGGTCCCACCCCAGAGCCTCACCCACTCCCTCCGACCTCCCAACACCCTTCATCACCACCCTCCATCTCTCCCACCCCATGGCACCTTGTTACCTCCATCACCTGAGTCTTCACCCAGTCCTCAACCTCAGCTCATCCCACCTGAAAACCTTCCACGGAGCCTGGCTGGACCATTCCAGCTGTCTTAGCATCTACGTCTCCTGAACTCCTCCCATATTTCATTTTGTCTGCCCTCCAGTTTTATTTTGCTACTTGATATACGATAGTCATGCTTCTCCAGTTGGACTGCAAATTCTTTGGGGAGGGATATCACGTATCATATTCCCATTTATCCCCAAAGTACCGAGCCCCACAGCAAGGGGCAACGTGAACTTCCCAGTTAGAAGAAATATTTTATTTTTGCCAAAAAGGTGTTGTATGCAAGGTCTAACCAAACTTTTAGTTCTCTGTTCAATGTGACTGCATGCCAGCTGAAAGAGAAACTTTACTACTCATCCTAGTTGGAGGCTATGTGGAGACGAATAAATATTTTGTTGAATTTTCAACAAAATGACAAACATGGGCAGTAACAGGCATTTACAGCACACTATGTTCGAGCATGGGTTTAAGCATTTGACAAACATCAATTCATCTGAACCTCATACTTATGCAGTAGGTACTGTTATTAACCCCACTTCTCACAGGAGGAGACTGAGGCAGAACAGGTAAATTGTCCAAAGCCACATGGTTAGAAAGTGCTGGATTCAAGCTCAGCTCATGTGGCTCCAGGCTGTGCTCTTAGGTGCTATGCTGTACTCCTATTAACAGGTGCGTTTTAGGTATCCATCTTCTACAGGGCTATCTTGTCCCAGTTAGGTATACTAAAATCTGTCATCACTCAAGTCCAACGTAAACAGAACTGATGGTTAAATGTCATCTTGCACGGAAACTTCAAAAAGAAGTATGGCTACGTGGGAGCTAAAGAAATAGCATCTTTAAAGTGAAGGGTATAAAATCTGCCAGTCTATCCCGGGGACCCCACAGAATGGCACTGACCATGCTCAGCAGAAATTCCAGGTTCAAACCTCTGGGCAACCGTGAGGTAGAATCCCCTTCAGACCAATGTTACCATACACCCAACAGTATCTTCCCAAATCCTTAATTTCTCAACATAAAGAAACCTAATACAATCCAAATCACAGCCGCAGTTAGATCTGTTTACTATATTTTAAATATGATCTTGCAGCCCCACTCATGGCATTCTTGAAAACATCAGATTAGGTACCAGAAGAAAAACCTCATCCTGGTGGTCAAATCATAGCAGGAAATTATGCCACCAGCAATTATTCATATATTAGCAGTTGCTTAAGTACCATAAGGCTTTTAGGGGAAAAGATTGTGAGCCAGTGGTTGGAAATGAAGCCCCATTATTAATGTAGTCAAGCTATTCAGCTGGATTCAATAAAATACAAAGCCCTGCCCAGACCAGTGTCTGTAGTAGAAGATGCTA